TAATTTGCTTTCCTACTAGGTATTTGTAGGGGGAAGCTAATTTGATTTCCTATTAATTGCACTAGTCCTTTATAAAAGGACATATTTATCATTTTTAACAGAAGTTGTGAATAAACATGTCATAATTGAGGCATGTCCTAATATTTATTTCCGAACTGTAAATCTGCGTGTATATTCTTTATTCTGAGTGCAATTGTTTGAGAGGTTTGGTGGTTTTTATTGCAGTCAGTAAAATACTCATTAGCCAGCAAAGAGCAGCATATGACACAGATTTACCCACATGTGACTATATCATTTATATTTTAGCCACAGTGAATTATAGAGGGGATTCTCGAGTAACTTTCAAACCATCTAGCTGTAATTAAATGTTGCAAAGTCTGGTTGAAATACCATTTCTCCAGTTTTTAATGAAAGTTAAATGTATATTGTCAGCCCCCTCAGAGGTGTCGTATTCTAATACAGAAGGCGCAGAACAAATTGGATAATGAAAGCATTACTTTAAACTGAAGCAGTTGCAGGAGCATGCATATTTTCACTGGCAAGAGACTTCATGGTGCTCCTAAATACATGCATGCACACACAGACAGAGACAGACAGACAGATATTCAGTAATTGTGAATGTCGGGTCTGAAATTACAGCTTCTCTGGGGTTTCTGGTGACAACTTAAAAATCCCACAAAAGCAAAACTTTGAGGAGGTTAGATCCCCAGAATATATAAGAAGAGAGCCTCAGATTTTTGTAAAATTGTTTATAACTGATCAGATTAATGAACATTCCTGATGGTGCAGCTGTGAATTGCCCATTTTAGATTACTGTGAATTGTGCAGGATTTTTTTGAATGTCCAGTAAATCAAACCCATGAGCTTCCTCTCTCTATAAGACATTTCTCGCAATTTTAGCAAAAGTTTTACATCCACAATTAAAATAGAAAATAATAGCATTTAGACATCGCCTATTGCAGTAGGGCCCCATTATGCTAGGTGTTGTTGACACACAGCATAACAGGGTCCTGACCCCCTAATGTCTACACTGCAGTAGGGAGTGAGATGACTAGGACAGGGTCTCCAGTCAGCACACTACAAACAGCTCTGTGGACGTTGCAGCTTAGGCAGCAGCTTGGTTTCTCAAGCCTGACACTACACTGCCAATTTTAGCGTGCTTCAGTGCAAGCCCTGCTAACATGCGTCTGTCTTCCCAGGAGCTTGCCTTAAGAGTTCCTAGTCTAAACAGATCAGGCTCCGCTAGTGTTTCTTGAGTGGTTGAATGTTCCACTCCCCCATAGCAGGCCAGAGCTCTGTCATACCCATTGCATGGTGATTCACATGCAGTGGGGAGGTGAATGCATTTTCTGTCATGTGTGGTATTCTAAGGGACCTCGGAGGGGAGCCTGCTGGCAAGGAATTCCTTGAGAATGTTGACACTGACATCCATGGGAGGTAGATCTGGCCCAGTGTGTACATGCGCCGAAATCTGAACATGCTCGTACCTCTCTCACGGGAGTGGCTTCCACCACAGTGTTACCTGGGCAAGGAGTGCAGAACTGGGCTCCAAGTGTGTAGTATCCTGCTCTGTCCAGGTCCTTGGTAGCTTCACCAAAGAAGTGGCAGCCTGACACGTTAATTTCACCCCTTTGGAGGTGTCTTGCTACATTTATAAAATGTATCAATCGTTTCTAAATTGTAAATACTAAACACCACTCCTCCGTTCTTTGGATTCATTGTAGGGAACATTAGTTTTCTAAGGGTAAAAGCATGAAATGTTAATATTGCCTTCATTCAGTTTTCTTTGACATTATCCCAGCATCTCATTTGACATTCCTCCTGCATTCAGAGCCCTGTAGGATCCCAAACTTTATAGCTGCTGCTTTTGGTCAGCTAGCAGCTCCTACTGCTACGGGGCTGGCTGTAACAATGATGCATTTTGAATTTGTCTGCAGTATGTGACGTGTACCCACGCCGATAAAACTGGTGCTTTTAGACAAGACTAAGGATATAGGTATTTAAATGTCCCCCAGTCCTGCAATTGAGTTTCCATAAAGTTTGAATATTTTACTATTAGGAAACATGTAGGAACTAAATCGTAAATATTTCCCTGTTCCCTTCCCTTTATTTCATCTGTTCATGCACATAGAGATCGGGTGAACAGAAATAAGGCTAAGAAATCTGAGATATTGCAAGTCAAGTCCACTATCCAGAGTCCTACTAAGTCCTTCGTTTAGGCCTTACGCACTTTGTTTGTTTTGATTTTTTTTGTCCAGTTCTTTAAACTCTAGTTCCAAGTGTGGTTTTTTTTCCTGTGGATTGCTTGATCACATCCTGCAGATATTTGACCAGCTCTCCCTTTGGTGCCCTAACCAGATTCTTCATTGGCAGTCACGCATTTGTGTAAAGAAACCGTTATCAATGCATTCCAAAAAGACTCGGTAGAGTAACAGGGATGCAGCAAAAACACGAAACAAAACATCCCCCCCTCCCCGATAGGGCAAGATGACACCGTGCCCAATTTTTGCAG